ACATGGCGATGCTACTGGGGGATGGAATTGGGAATGAAAATGGGATGAATCTTGAATAGGGAATAGGGAATGGTATCTGATGGATATGGAAATGGTAGTGGGTCTCGGGGAATGGATCAGTCTGGCTCTCGACAACAACTCCAGTCCAGAAATAGATGATAGTCCTCTCCCCCCCTGTTGCTTGGACGACGGCTGGCGTGTTAATTTGTCGCCCCTCTCGGCATTTCCCTAAGTGGGTATCCCATAGATCGGATGGGTAATACTACTACAATGGCTCAGGGCCCAGGCAAACATTTCTTGTTATTTATTTGGCGCGTCTGTTTGGCCCCCAATTTTTCGGGGATATATGGATGTACGAGGTATGTATGTCCTGAGAAAAATCCCCAAAAAATATATATTTTGGGGGGGAAAGTTGGACATTTTTCAATGAGATTCAATGTTTTTGGGTTGTTTTTGTTGTGGGGGATGGGGACCTCCCAAAACGGGGATCATTTCTTACCTGAGACAGCCAACCTCCTGGGGGGAGGGAGGGAGTGTGACGATTATTGATCTTTAGCCAGAAGTTTGTTACATTTCCGTGGCTATTTTTGGGAATTTCCTCACTTTCGGGGGAGAGATATATACAATTGAAACACTTCCGTTAATGCATTGTGATATCACGCGCGATACCATGTTGACAATCTGATTTCCACATCACTTTGAAAATTTTCGAAAAAAGAAATCATGTTTTTCTTGGAGGGAGATTATCTTTTGAGAATGAAGGTTGTATTTTTCGGGGGGTTTGGGTGGAAGTTGTTGAACTAAATATTTAGTTTAAAATAAATATAGGGGTTTGAAAACTAACCGTGAGGAGTTTAACTATAAAAATAGCCAAAAATATTATTAGAAACTTATTTTTAATATTTATTCTTATTCTAAATATTTCTTAAACCCTTATTCTTATTTTTTTCAATAATTTTAGCTACGAAATATTGCTTAAGAAAAGCACCAGAAAATATATTAAATCGAAACTAAGAAGGTAAGTTCATTATTTTCAAATAATCTTTTCTTTGGGAATCATAAAATATATAATAACCCTTATAACCTATAAAGCAAAAGTGTCAGATCTCATATCAATTGTGAAAATACCCTTGGCATTGTTATCCAGAATATCCTTCTCTGGAGAGTTTTTCTTTTTGCATCAATTATGCAACTTTGTATACCCCTTGCACACAATTCGTGGCTTTGCTATCGCATTCATTTGCAATTTCCATTAAAATGTCATTGAAATTTCACTTACAAAAATGTTTTCGTAGCCAGAAAAACCCCAGGAAAACCCCGACGAATACCCACGAAGCGAATAAAAATTGAGTCGAGTGGAAAAACTGAACGAACTACTGAACTATACTACTAGTAGTGAGTTTTTGTATTGCGGCGATGATGGTGATGGTGGGTGAGGAAAAACTTTGGCTCTGGAAAATTCTATTGCCAAACGCATTTTGCACTTCAATTGCACGTGAAAATGAAAATGAAGTGAAGTGCGGGGATTTGGGTTGAGTTTTTGGGGCGCCGAAAATTCGCCGAAAATACTGAAAAATTCAAGCCTGTTAATATGCGTAAGTGTGTCGGGCAGGTGATGATGCACTAAGAGAATAATTATAAAAAAAAAATTATTAAAATTTGTAAAAAACAGTTTTAAATGACTAATTTTTATCTTAATTTGTGTTTAATTTTTTTTTTTTTTGTAAATTAAAACTTAAAGTGAGAAAATCTGTTTCAAAAATATAAGATATTTTTTTGAAAACTTTAAACTGGGAAATATTTAAGTTTTTTCATTTAATTAAAACTTTTATTTAATAAAAAAAAAAAAAGAACAATTGGTAAAAAAAAAAATGCATTAGTTTGTTATTTTAGAGATCATTTGATTTTAAAACTTGTGAAAACATAGTATTAGGAATATTAGGTTTAAAAACTATTTCAAAAAAATGTTCAAAAAATGGAAAACTAGTGAAGGTTATTAAAAAAATAATTTTTTTTATTCCTGTTTGCTTGAAAAGAGCCTTTAAACCTTAGATTTCTTAGAAATTAGATCTACTAGACATCTTTTCTTTAAAATATGTCTTTAAAAATTAATTATAACCCTTCTTAAGAATATATCTTCAAGTGCATTTAGTTTCCTTGCGGTGTCATTTGAAGAATCCTGGCGTGAAGTTGTTCCTGCTTTTGGTCCTTTTTTCCTTTTTTTATTTTCTTACCACCCCCTCCAGGTGTCTGGCGTTGTCATTGATATGGCATTCTGCTTCCTCTTTCCGCCCACCCATGGGTATATCTCCTTCTTCTTATTTTTACCTTCCATACCGCCCGGCGCCCAACTCTTTGGCCTCCACCTTCTTGGGTCGTTGTCGTTTTGTCGCCTGTTGTTAATTGTCATTGCGTCGCTTTAAGCCGCTCAGTGGCAGGAGCCGCGGGAAATAAAAGAGGGGACCCCCGGGGGGGTGGAGGGGCACGAACGGATAAAGTGCGGCAAGAAGAAGACAAAGCAAGTCTATCAGCCATACTCTAGAAAAGGTCATCCAAAATTTGACACAAGGCTTTCCAGGACGTGTCTTCAAATGACATATTTATAGAATTAGAATAGAGTTGTCATCCCCATTTTTTTTTTTTTAGATAAATAATGTTTTCTTAAAACTCTATAAGATTTAGGGTGTACTGCTCTAGTGTATCCCTAACTTCGTTGGGGGCATTTTTCGATGTTGTTGTTATTGTTGTTGTTGTCGTCGCTGTTGCTGTTTTCACGCGCGGTTAGCGCCTGTAATTGCATTGCCAAGTAAACGACGAACCGCGAACAGTGAGCGACATTCGTATGTGTCCCTGGGTACAGTGGCTTAGTTTTGAATTAAAACTGATAAAAAATATATAGTTTAATTTTTTTTTTTTATAAAATTCGTATGAACATTTTAGGCCGCTTACTTACAAGGCAAACTTTTTGAAGGAAAATAATATAAAATTTAGAAACAAAAATAACAACATTTTGAAAAACAAAGTCCAAAATGAAAGGCTCAATGGACTTTTGATAAAATTTAAAAAAAGGCAAAGAAGTGTGAAGTACTGGAACCCAATTTTAAATGTTTTTTTCTGTAAAAAGCCTTTTTTTTATAAAATCTAAAAAATAATACATTTTACCTAAACAACAACGATTAAAACTCAAATATTATAAAAAAAAATAAAAAAGAAAATTGTAACCTAGTTTTTTATTTTATTTTTTACATAAAGGCACTTTTGAAAAACTTTTTTTTTATCGTTTTGGACTAGAAATAAAAGTTCGCTTTAATAATAAATATTTTGTTTAATAATAAAAAAAAGTAACTAGGTAATAAAAAAGAAAAAAACTTAATTTTTGCAAAAAATGTGTACAAATCTTTACAATCACTATTAAAATGGTAAAAATAATAAAGCAACATATTTGGAAGCTAAAATGAGAAAACTTCAAAATTAGGCTATACAAAAATTACCTATATTTTTTTTTAGAAGATTTTTAAAAAACAAAATAAAACAATAAGTTTTTAAAAAATCAAAATAAAAAAATAGAAAACGATTTAAAAAAAAAAAATTCTTAAAATTCAAAATTTTAATTTTCAAAATGACCCACTGTGCCCTGCGTGTGTGCGTGCGTTCGAGTGTGTGTGTGTGCGTTGGCGTTGGCGTAAGTGAAATTTATTTCAACAGCCCCGCCAGGCATTCAGCCCCAAAACTGTCGGTTGGCCAACTTAGGCGAAAAATTGAGAAGCAAGAAAGCAGGAGCAGCGGCAACGGCAATAGAACCGCCAACCAAATGAAACGACTATACGAGAGTCGTTCCCCACTTACCCTCTCCCTGCCGTAATTCCCCAAGCTATCCAAGCCACCGGGGAGCGCCACTGTTGCCGTGATGGCGGGCACACTGGCGCCAAAGTGATGGAATCCATTGCGAATGCACAATCTCACAGCGGTTGATCTTAAAAAGCAAAGAAGAAAAGGGCTAAAATGGGGGTGTGGATGGGGCTTGTCTTGCGAAATGCACTATAGCGGTTTCCAGGGGGGTTAACATGTATTTCTTTTTATAGAAATTTAACTAAAGGATCAGAGACTTTTAAGGGTTAAAGGAAGAAGGTTTTTAAGTTGAAAGTTTTAAGTGCTTTTGTTGCCATATTGTTCTTAATTATTAAAAAAAAGATGGTAATGGAGGCTTTGATAAGATTATTTGGATTTTCTCGGATTATTTTATAAGCTTTAATCGAAAATATATATTTTTAAAAAATTATTAGATATTATTCGAAAATATCTCTTAAAAAATACAAAAATTATGACTAAAACTTCTATGAATTTGTTTAAAAATTATTCAAAAAGTATAAGAAAGAATACTGAGAATACTGAGTCTATAAAGCCCCAAAGCCAAAAATGTTCATAAGTTGTTTTAAAATATGCTATGAAAAGAGTACCCGGGTATCATATATTTTAGACTTCATAAATCCTATTTTTTCTCAATAATAGATTTTTAATATCATCAGCGACTATTATGGCCTATATTCTGCATTTTTCGACCTGTTTCTTGGTTTCTGTTGCTGATTTTAAATTTAAATTAAAAAACCTTCCAAAAAGCTTCCAAAACCTATTCTTCTTCAATCTTTTTTTTACATTTTCGACTCTGACCGAGCACTTGAGGTTTACGATCTGTGGCAAAAAGCAAACAATGGCCTACAAGTGCGGCCACTTCTCGACACGCTTAACACATTACGTGGAGGAACAAAAAAAATAATATAAAGATATCCAGCCTGAGGGCCAAAAAGTGCGAAAGGCTTTCTCTTAAAGATTGCCAGAAATTCTAATTTTTTTCATCCATGAATGATAAAAGAAAGCGTCGAGTTTCTTCTATCCGTTGAATATGTCTTTAATTTTGCAATTTCCGTCAACTCATTGTTGGCTATAAAACTGGCCAAGTTTGGCCCAAAATCGAACAGTGAAGTGCAGAGCGTCAGTGCGAAATGAAATACAACGCTATTTTTGTGTTCATCGGCCTGGTGATGGGCCAGTGTTTGGCCGAAAAGGATGCCAAGGTTGTGCCGGAAAAGGATCAGACCCGATTGGCTGGAATTTACGTCAAAGACGGCAATGAGAATGGCCAACTGAGATTCTTGGCCTCCGGCCTCACCAGCAGCAGTAGCAGCTCCAGCTCCAACACTGGCCTTAACTCGGCCCTGAATCAGTACATTACCAATAAACAGGATATGCTGGAGCAGTTGCGTCCTTCTTCGAGTTCCTCTGCGGGAACGGGAACGGTTACTGGAACTGGAACTGGAACAACAACCACCTCTGGCACTGGGACCTCCACTGGTGGTGGTATCGTCACCACCACCGCCGATGGTGCCATCTACGTGAACTTGGGCAACTCGGGATCATCCTCGTCGTCGTCCTCGTCGTCATCCTCCTCCGCCAACCAAGCGGCCATCAACCAAGTGATCTATGGATCCTCACCGATAGCTTCCCTCTTGCCGCAAATCGTGGGCCAGGCGGCTAGCTCCACACGGATTCGTCCCGGCCAGGTTAACAGGCGACGGGTGGTGGCCAATCGTGGTGGCGGCAACCGGAGGCGTCGGGTCAACAAGAGGCGTGGCAGCATCAACAACAACAACATCCGTCGTCGTCGGCGTCGCGGCAACAAGAAGGGCAAGAACAAGAAGGCCCAAGTGATGGTTGTTCGTCCCAATCGCGGTTGAAAACGCGTTTCACCCACTTTTCTCCTCCCTCCCCCTACCATTTCCCTATTTCCTCCCTAACTTTTAAGCGAAATTGTAATTTTTTTTTTTTTTCAAAAACCAAGACAAGCAATTTTTTTTTTATAAACGATTATTATTATTATTAGTATGCGAGAAGGCAACTTAATTTATTTATTTAAATAATTGAAAGCAATTACACTGTGCAACAAGGAATGTTTTTTTGTGAAGGGTTTTTGGGGGGGAAACTTTAGATTCTTCGGTCTTTTTTTTTTTTTTTTTTTTTTTTAGAAATCTTTCTTAGAAAAATCTCTCTCTTTTTAGATCTTTTTTTTAGAAATCTAAATTATTATTTGGGTTTCTTTGGTAAGAGATTGAAATTTAAGTAAGAAATCTTAAAGAGGGTTTTAGGTTAGAAAAATTAGGGCTCTTGAAGTGTGACCTTGTTCTCTTGTTCATTTTTGATGTATACAAATAATATTTATCTATAGAATATTCTCAAAGACACCTAGGGGTTTAGTAACTACTATTCTTTAAGCTTTTTGAACCAAAACGATTTTTAAAGTTACCAAAAGTCTATAGAAAGATGTGACCAGACTTAATTTAAGGCAGATATCCAAAAGGGAAACTAAAAAAGCCTTTTCTAAGAGACCCGTTTAAGAAACTAGTAATATTTTTAATCCTCAACCTCAAATGGCCTTCAAGACTTGCATCTCTTGTCTCTAATGTGACCACTAAAGCACTATCGATTAATTGAAATTAGCAGCCTGTTAATCGATTTTCAATCGAGCCCTTTAAATCTTTATTCAAAACTGAAATTGAAATGAACTCCTCAGCTGACTGGCTGACTGCCTGGCGGGGCGGCGAGAAACCTCAAATTTGTGCTGGCCAGTGCCTGGGCCGTGGCTCTAATTTATGGGCCAACTGGTGTTCATGTTCAGGGCCCAGTGACTGGGGCCCCCGTTTGGCTGTTTGGCTGGCCCCTGGTGAGCCCCTGGTCAAGTGCAAGACAAACGGTCTCCGGTCTCTGGTCTCTGGTCTGCATGCGGCGGTCAATGTCTTGATAAATGTCTGCCCGACTGGCGCCAAGAGAGAGTTGTGCGCTTGTTGTGCCTGCACCTTTCTATCCACCACCACTACTCTACCTCTACCTCTATATAGTCCTCTATATATATATGTAGCACCGTTTCGCGCCCCCTAAATCACCGTCACGTGTCCTGGCTGTGCATTATGTGCTCATGACTGTAATGAGCCTGTAAGTGGACCTAATCAGTGTCATAATAATAGAAATTAATCACTGCAAGGCCGGTCGTGCTTTGGTCTTGTCGGGTGGCATAGTGGCATAGTGGTAGTGGGAGTGGGTGGGTACTTGGGTCTAGAATAGTGGGTGGGTGGCTACCACCTGCAGTTTGCAAAAGTCAAAAAGGTGGACAAGCCATCCTGTTGGGCGGTTTTGTGCAGAGCTTTGGCGCGCATACTTTGTAAATGTTTTGTAATGATTTGATTTGAAATTCATTTGAATTATTGCTTGCTTCCGGTTTCCGTTGCCTTCGAAATACTTTCCTGTTGCCTTGTTGCCTTCCTCCTCCAGCGCCCCCCTCCCCCCTCTAGCAGCAACAGCAGGAGGTCCTGGGCAAGGACTCTATGATGTACGGATAGAACTTCTGGCCTACACTTGGCGTCTCTTTGGCTCTCGGGGGAGTTTATTAAGTACTAGCTGGAATACACTTGGAGAAAATTATCCTAAATTTTTTTTTTTTAGGAAGAAGAAGAAATTTATTTGAAGGTTTTGGAAATAATAAAAAAAAAACCTTTAAAAAATTATTTTTTATTTTTAAAAGAAAGATATTTAAAAAGAAAAACATTTTTTTACTAAAACTTATTCCCGAAAAAACTAAAATAAAATTTACTTTTATTATTTTTATTATTTTATTTTAAATTTTAATATTTATTATTTTTTAATTTTTGTATTCAAAATAAGGAAATTTAAATTCTTAAAATAGAGATTCTTTCTAAAATTCTTAAAATAAAAAATATAATATAAATATCTTTTAAGAAGTGAATATTTCGCTGAATATTATTTTTTAAAATTAAATAATACACGTGTTTTTAACATTTTAATTATTACTTAATATATAAGTGATATTTTAAGGCCTAATATTATTAATTTTTTTATTTTTTTTTTCGAAAGAAAGTCCTAAACATCTATTTTCTTTAGAAACCATTTTTCAAATCACATAAGAATTTCTCCAAGTGTATTTGCATAGGCGCTGCTTTTTATTAGTATGTGTCTGTGTATGTGTGTGTGTGTGTAGATGTATGGGTGTGAGTGTGCGGAACTTTGTTAATATGCAAGTGAATGAACATTTCCGGTTCGGACAAAACGTGCCATGTGCTGGGAGGCCAGAAGCCCAAACCAAAACCCCAAACCTAGAACTGAAACTGAAACTGAACCAAGGTCCTGGCCAAGTCCGCGAAACCTTTAGAAACAGGGTAAGAGGGGTAAGGGTAAGGGTGTATGAAATCCGGTGGACGTTAAAGGTGGATGGATAGGAGAAGAGCAAGAGGGAGATTCTGGCTCACACAGCCCAAGGACATGTTTCTGGCCAAAAAGTTCACATCACCATGTTGCTATTTGCCCTTGGAACCATTCGTTGGATATTCGTTGGATACATTTCGCTGCCCTATGATGCTTAAATATCCTTTGGGAATAAAGAGTCCTTGCGGTTTTTAATAAAAAAATATTTATTAATATATATAAACATATGTAAATAAAATATATATATATCTTAAGAAGGATTTTTAAAAATATTCTTAAGCCTTCATTTCTTTTAAAAAAGTCTCTTGGGCTTGTTAGTTTCAAGACTTGATATTGATGGAAACATTTCCTCCAAAAAACTTTTCTTCAAATATTTTATTAAATATTATTATAATAGTTAATATTTCTTTAAAAAAATAGTATTATTTAAAGTTATTAAATCTTAGTTTCTTTTTAAAATATTTTTATAAATTAATATCCCATCCAATATCTAAATAAATTTAACATTTTATAGAGTATTCAATGCTATCTTAAACCCAAGTTCGACTCTGCTCGTTCGTTATTTCTGTTTTTTTTTTTCGTTATTTTTTTTTTTTATTATTTCTTTGACCAGTTCTTTGGCTTCGCTCATGTGTAATTTTCAATTAAAATGATTTGAGTAGACAACTTTGAACGCTTCTGGCTGTGACTCTGCCAGGCTGACTCTGCCACTGACTCCTCTCGGACTCTTATTCCGATTTTGATTCCGATTCTGATTCACATTCAGATTTCAGATTCCGATTCGTGTTCGTAGTCCGGAAAAGGAAGGAAGGAAGGAATGGGGGACAGTAGTGTGTATGGGACTTGCTTTTGGCCACAAATACTTTTTTTTTTTTTTTTGACCAGAAATCATAAATCATGCAACGAACCAAAGACAGGGGGGACACCGCATTGGAAATCGACAGAGAGAGAGAGAGAGGAGACAGGACTAAAGAAAACCAGAAGGCATAGCCATTCACAAAAATAAATATATATATGTCTATATCCTATATGTGTAAGCTTGTTGTGTCGACTAAGTGGGCCACAAGTTTCGTTTCACTTTTGAAATAGTTGCAAAGTGGAAAAGTTTGCCGCACTTGCCACCAAAGGGGGGTGGGGGATAAAAAAAAAAAATGTTGGCATCTTCTCTCTTTTGGGTATTTGGCATGCAGAGTGTCCACGTCTGTGGTCAGGAAAGGGCATAATTGCGGAGCATCCTTTCCAGCCGAAAGGAAAACATGCTAACGGGACATCGGAAGTAGGAAGGCAGCCAGCAGGCCAGCCATCCCCCAAGGAGGAGGCTGGAGAAGATGAGTGCGTGAGTCACGTGCCAGGAAGTCGGTGTCCGATGGCATTTCTTGCCCCCCCCCTAATCGTGACACGTCTGCAGTTGACAATTATGTTCTGGAAGGAAAACCAAAGACAAATTATGAATTTGGCTGGTTTCTGGTTTCATTTTTAAATCTTAAATATAAGAGGTTTTTTTTTAATATCTTAAAAATATTTTTTTAATATTATTTATTTAAGTAACTTGGGAGGTTAAATGGGAGTTAAATACTCATATTTTCTAAGATAGTAGGAGGCTTTCTAAGTAGTTAGATAATATTTATAACAAATAGAACCGATAAACTATCGTTTCTCTATGTATATCGATGTATATATCGTAGGAATTTAATTAATTTAATTTTTCAAGAATTTGAAACATAGTTTGGGTTAATTATTATTCTATTTAGAGCTCAATCACAAAGCTATATATTATAAACAATTTTTACTCAATTTTAAATATTTTTAAAACCATAAAATCAAACTATCGTTTACTATCATAGTAACATAACCTCAAAAAAAACTACCATAACCTCTAACTCTCTAAAATGTTGCCAAAAAAAAAAAATATTATATTCATTTTGTAATTCTCTTTAAAATAACAATTTTTTATTATTATACTAATTATAAACTATCGTTTTGTTGTAAATCACGCTACCATCTCTCACCTACCAGTACAAAAAAAAATCACTCTTTTGGTCATTTATTTCGGGGCCAAGTGTCAATGCAGCAAATGCCCAAGAACCGATGAAATTCTGCGGCTACAAAGCCTTTGCTTCTCCCCTTGTTCTTCTCTCTCGGTCAGTATATCTGGAATTCTTCTCGAGGTTTTTGATTTTATTTTATTTATTTTTTTTTTTTTTTTTGCGTCCATCTGTTACGACCATTGTGGCTTAGGTTCTTTTTTTTTTTTACCCCCGCACTCTATTGGATTTTTGTTGTGGAATTTCTTGTATTCCGTTGGCTTTTAATTGCCATGACGTGTTTGTTCTTTCAGTTTTTTTTTTTTATTTCTTCGTTTTTTATTTGTGCTTTGGCCACTTGACGTTTGATTTAGTTAGTACTTTTGGCCAGTTTCGGACGCTTTCGGTTTACAAGACCAATTGTAAGCCAATTTTCGGAG